CGGCTCGGGTATTCTACAACAGCTCCCTGAGACCCTCCACGCTCTCATGAAATTTCAACCACGAGAATTAACCGGCTACCGTCCAGGTTTCCGGAACCCAAGCTGACGCAATTTAACTAGTCTCATAACAATTACGTGACATCTAGCATTAGGAATAGTGCTTTGGAGTTACCTTCATGTCTGAAGGTCTTAGGAGTAGTCGAGGCTATGAGAGTACTGAGTACAATTGAGGTATTATCAACACTATCATTTTAATAAACAATCGTAATTATTTTTTTTTTTGATATCTCCCATCATAAACATCGGTTTACTTTGGAAATTAAGAGCTCGAAATAATTTTTTCCGAATGAATTTTATAAAAAAATTGAATTAGTATTTAGCCAAAACCCTGACCACCGACATTCATTACCCTGCTTTGTTTCTCAACAATCTACATACTTGCCCTTTTTGATTATATATTATGTCCCATTTAACAAAATGAAGTGATATGTGCTACATAACGTAATTTATAACTGTTGACGAATCCTCTACAAAGGTGATCTCTTTTCATGGCGTCAATTTTGACTAAGCTATACCCTTTCCTTGTAAACTTCTATGTGTGTACCACTTTCATGCTACGTGCTTTATTCATCCGGAAATTTAGTTACTCTTAATTTTACAGGCTCACCCACGACGTCTTTGATTTTTATGCACAAAGACGTGATGGTAACAAAAGAGTAAAGTCAGGTTGACTGTCATGTCTCTCTATACTGACTCATTGTTTATACCGATTATTGGCGTTATATTGACCCGCAAGTAATCATTATTAGTGCACAACATTAAGACTGATTTTCGAAAGCGCTGAAGTCCTTGACCTGTAGTGACTTTATAAATTTAAAAAACAAGCAACAAACTATTTTCTCATTTACGAAACAGAAAGAGTCTTCTCATATTTGGGTTACGTTTCGCTTTTCATTAGTTCTGTTAAAATATACTCATTGTCAAGGAAACAGTTAGTCACATTCGAGAGAAATGTCTGCAAACAAACTACAGTTTGTCTTATCGTACCTTGCATATAAAATTGTTTTTAAATTTATGGTGCTTTTCACTGCAATGAAGCCCCAAATATTTGTAGTGGACTGACAGCCGCCCCGCGCGAGTGTGCGTGCACGATGGCCCGTGTGTAGCGATGACTCATCCCCTTTTGTTATTGATTTTTGTCAGCATTCGCCTGTTACGCACGCGTGCTCATACGCACACAAAACCACTTGGCTGGTTCGACTCTAATAAACGGTCGTGTTCTCTGTTGCCTCCTTTTTCCTATCCTCGGGTAGCTACGGGCTGTTAACTAGAGGGTTGTAAGGTAGTGATAAATCGCCAATCATGCTATTTAAATGTAAATTGCACCAATTGCTAATTTTTACGATGCTTATTATAGACAAATTCGCAATAACTCGTAAATGTTGAGTGTGTTTCCATAATCAATAATGACACTAATAAAATTTCCTAGAGTGCCATGGCGGGAACGATGGAAGTTTCGTGTGTATAATACCCGAGTCCTATTAAGGAAAAGACCGGCACGACAAAAGAGGCTTTTTTGACCAATCAGAAGCCAGAGCCACATGTCAGGCGCCTACCATCCGAGTCCACCACGCTAGCCACGCCGCTCATTATGTACTGCATCTCATCCATGTCCTTCTCTGGTTGGCTGCCTTCCGTTCCCGCACGCCATTGGATCGCAGAGGGACACAGGATTGGCTGCGGCCAGGTGGTCCAACATGTCTGCGCCCTGATCCGACGCCACTGAAGAATTCCCGAGCCCTAATAGGTAAAAGAACGGTACAACAGAACAGGCTTTATTGACCAATCAGAAGCCAGACCCACGCGTCAGGCGCCTTCCATCCGAGTCCGCCACGCTGGCCACGCCGCTCATTATATACTGCATCTCATCCATGTCCTTCTCTGGTTGGCTGCTTACCTTCCTCGCATGTCATTGGAGAGCAGAGGGACACAGGATTGGCTGCGGCCAGGTGGTCCAACATGTCTGCGACCTAATCCGACGCCACACTGCCTCCCCCTCAGCAGTGAAGCTGTCCTCAGCTTCTGGCTTGGTTCCTTTCACTGTTGTTGACATCCAGTGTTGGTAAAATATCCAGTTCAACACTCCCCGCACCCCACATCTGGCAGGATAGTGGCCCATGCGAATAGTTGACGTGGGACTTTGCTCTTGTAGACTTGCAGGAAGGACTC